ACGCGAGATGCTGATCGAAAAGTGAAATAGACTTTTAACAAGATGGTGAGTGACATTGCAATACAACATGGCACTATTACGGACTTACTGCAAATCAATGTGCTTTTTTTCTAAATAATGTTCTCCATGTACGTTGAAAACGAGAACGTTAATTCTCATTTGTTACCTCAATACATAATTCGAAACGAAACTAGCGTTGCTGGTCTGTGATTAAAATATAGTTATCTTTTGTTAATCTTACAATTACCAAGAGCTTATCTCGTAAAATTTGACATATTCACAAATATACCGTTAATCCGCTATATAATAAAATATCCGCTGACGTGAAATACTCTAAATCTGTACTCACAGGTGGTCCTGTCGTTTGAACGCCTTGCCGCACATCGTGCACACGTATTTCCTCTCGTCGCTGTGCGTCAGTTTGTGCTTCGTGAGCGCTGATGCGTTGTTAAACACCTTCCCGCAGATCTGTAACAGGGAGAAACAACCGTCGTTGCAGCAGCGTTGTAGATGAAAATTACGCATGACGTCTGTCGAATCACGGCCACGCGCAATTACGTTACACTTGCCGTTGAATGCAATATCTCTCTCGGTTACCACGGTGTAGCGGAAACTTACACTTATCCGATGGAATTTCTTTTTTCGTCGAGTATGTTAGCGACGCGCGAAGAAGAGTCGTCGACGAATTCTATTTTAAAACGCGAGAGATATATTCAAGCGTGACCATAATTTTCAATTAGCATGCATGACCGTCGTAAAATGAAGACATCACTTTATGATGGACATTAGACAGTATCAAATGGCTATCGCGCGATGCATAAACGCGGATCTTCCTTCAATTTACGAGCTCACCGTCGCACGACGCAATAATCATTATGTCCAGCGCATCGCCGATAAAGAATAACTTCGCAATTTCCGTAACGAACAGCGACAATCGTGTTCTTAACACGAACAGAATCGTCGCGCCTCAAACGAAAGTATTTCTTATTTGTTCTATTATGCATTATGCAGTCTGGCTCAATATATTATTTCAAAAGCGAGTGATTATAAAGAGTGATTAAAATACAGAGTGATTATAAAGTCCTTATGCAACTTTCGTAACTTCTGTACGCGGTGCATAAAATAATCTACAAACTTAATTTATAAAAAGCAATAAAAATGCAATTAAGTACGTATAAAGGGTAACGGTGAACATGTTGGGAAATAATAATCCCAACAATAAATGTATGTAAAACCGAAATAAATTTTTCCACTAATACTTTTCGTTTCTTTGTACGAAAAAAATGGTAGTTATAAAAATTTTAAAAACAAAAATTTTATAATCACTTTTCTATTCTTGATGAGAACAAATCCAGTTTTTCGAACTAATATTATATAATCTAATCGGATCTAATTAAAAATACAACGTAAAAGATACTCTTCATTCGTACGTGTGATACAGAATTAAATTGACGCTATTCTCGCGGCAAAGTATCGAGATGGAAAAACGATAGTGAAGATTTCGTTAATGCTTCTCTGATAAACGATGCTATTATCGTCTGTCTTACTAAAGAATAAGAGATCGCCGGTATCACTGCAGCACGTACGTAGAAATTACTCGCGGATTTAACGCCCGACCACACGCGTGCGCCGCCAGTCCCGGAGAGTGGTATGCCCGTTAAGTATGTGGAATTAGGTTTATTATACGCGGCTCCGGGTCGCGCACTATTTCAGGAACTATTTCAGGAAGCTAAAGGCCGAGGAATTGAATGCGACCAGTGTTCCACCCGAAAATCCAATGCCTCGTTCAAATGGGCGACGAGTTCGCCGCCATGGAAAATCGTGCAAATTCCGCGGGCCCATGAACGACAGGAACGATTAACATTTCCAATAAATTTGCCCTGCGCCTTTCGTCACGACCTTGTCGCTGCCTCTCGAAATGCCGTGCATAATGTAATGAAGCGGTATCATCGAGGTAACAAGATTAAAATTCTAAAATATAAATACTCTTCTCTATTAATATTATTCTGCAAAAGAATATCCAAGATTTATGTAAACCTTTAAAACAAATTAAAGAATCAACATGATCGTAATATAATTTCATAACTCTTTAATACCAGGGAATCATTTATTTAAATAACGTAAAATTGTCAAATCTGAATCCAAATAATTGATTTTGCATAAATAACAATTTATCTCCTCTATGTTGTCATAAAATTGATAGAGATATTACGTTTACGTTACTGCAAAACAAACTTGATTCTCATAGAAAAAAAATCAAAAAACGAACGAGGCGTATATCGATCTTATTTCGAAATGCGATCTATAATGTGTAGAGGTACAGGATGCCTGCGACGTGGCTAAACTCGCTCTAATGGCCTGCTCGAGGAATGCCGCGGACGAGATTCGGAATATCACGTCTCGAGGGCATCGAGAATTCGTCGTCACGTCGAAGGATTCGCGGTGCCGGCGCCACGGCATTAAGCCGAAATTAATTTCCAATGCACCTGCGGCCGTCGCCGCGCCACGTGACGACGTGGAAAACGTGCGATGGCACGACTCTGTGCCTCCATTATCGGAAAAGTCTTTTCCGCTTCTCGTTTCGCTGTTATTTTCAATCGTTCGACGAGCACGAGAGGTACATGAATTGCCGGTGATTCCGGTGAGACGAGAAAAGCCGAATCCGAAATCGCCGAAAGAATTCCGTCCTCGCTTCTCTGAATGACGGAATTTATTTTAGCTTAAAAAACTGCGTTTTGCTTAATGAAAGATGAAGACGGAATTGTGTCGATCGTATTTATCGCATTATTTGGAACCGTCGACTCTCTCATAGTCACATACGAAGTCGGAAGATGACATATGATTCGATTTTTTATTTATAACAGTAATATTGAGCAAGACGTAGATAAACTAAAAATTAAAATTACAATATTCTTAATTACTTTTATCGTCTGTGTATATACATAGTACTTAGTATTAGATATTTAAATATAAAAATCGCGGAATTGAGACGCAGACAGAGTCGTTGGCTTTTCGGTATAAAAAAAAGAAGCTTGTTGACATCCGGCGGAATACGAACTTCCTGCGGAATCCTCGCAAGCACTCATGCGAAGCGATACTATTTAACCATGAGCCACGGTTGCTATGACGACTCACGTATAGCTTAAACGGTACAGTCTGTCGGCAAACATTTGCTGGGATCCAGCAAACAGGCAACAAATTCCATTTCATGAAGGAACGGGCGTACATAACGAACGTCCTCGAGAAAACGAGAAGTACCCTTCAACATGACAGAAGAAATTTCCGGGCCATAGATAGAAAAACTTCGCGTCGCCTCCACTACCGAGAGCAAATCCCAGATTAAAGAAAAAGGTATTAAGACTGACGCGTCGCGGATAATATTGACCAAAGACGTGAAGCGGACCAGCGGGGGAGGAGATAAGAGCGAGCGTGTGAGAAAGCAGGGGCGCAGATAAGAGGACGTAAAAAACTAAGGAAAAGGAAATAAAAAATAAAAGGGGCCAGAAGTGACGCAAACGCAAAGATTTGAGATGTGTAGAGGTGGTGGCCGTATATATTCACGAGGTGGGATGAACGTTTGCACACGGTCTCGTGGAGGTCTCGCAGGAGCCGGGAGATGAAAAGGGGCGAGGCGCCAAGGGAAAGGGGGAGTCGTACTTCTGGCTCCTAAGCAGAAAATCTAATTTGCGTAGCTTAACTCCTAAGGAGCTCCAGATGCACGGACGCCAACACACGGGAGTTTCAATTTACGAGGCGAGGACTGGGACCAGAGAGAAAGATGAGAGGAGCTGCCGGAGTGACGGAGAAGCGGCAGTAGAAACGGCAGATGGCGAGATAAGGATAAGACAGAGAGAGAGAGCTAGATAGAAAGAGAGGAGACAAAGATCTGAAGAAGGAGGAGAGAGCCTCAACGAGTGAACTCAACGACCATGGGTACGGTGGTCTTTCGCATCCCACACCCATCATTCCCGTGCCAAAACCCGTATCTTCCACCCCCGACGCGGACCCTCTTCTTGAGAGCTAAACAAACATCATTACTCCTGGCCTTTCTGGCTACCACTCTCTTTGCCAATCCACCTCCCTTCGCCACGATCTCTGGCCGCATCTCGTCTGTGCACGATGGTGCTCGGTCGTCTCCACTTGGCTCGCGACTGCAGCCTGTAGCGCCGCAGCCAATGTACACCGGCCAACACCGGGCCCTGAATACGTAATCCCGCGGGTGGTAACATTGATACTTCGTTAAGAGGGAAACCTTGGTGGGAGAGATGCGCGCGAGAGGACACTTGGACCGAACCCGGTGGTCGGAGAGGCAACCACGGAGCGATTCATGGTTTAGACCGGTCCCCCCATCGATCGGCCGATCCGCTTAACGGTCATTCCGACCAACCGCATTCGTCGCGACCGCTCTTCCAATGAGAGGCACGAGTATTAGGGATCGAATGTGAAATCGTGCGTATCGCCGGCGAGAACTCCGCATGCTACATTCTGAAGTTTCGAGAGAACTACGTATAGGAGGATTTTCGTCGAGAGCGGGTATCATTCGATTTCTATGCTCTTACTCGTTTCAATAATGCTCAAATCAATCTAATAACTGATTCAAATCATGTCTTTAGTAAGCAATAAAACGAGGGATAAGCTTACTGTCCGCTACTGTATTTATATAATTTCTTGAAAAATCGCCGTAAGAATATTACGTATTATTATATTACCTTATTTAGGAAATGTATATTGCAATTGTAATAAATAGTACAGCGTAATTTCATACTGCATGTAATAGTAATCCAATCGCGTATACATTGACATCTAACAAAAAAAGAAGGAAGGCAAACAAAGAAAAGGAAAACGAAAGATTATTTCATTATATGAACGCATTCGCTAAAGTGAACTGCCGCCACGCGGCTCATGAGTAAGATGCATCTGTGGTTTCATCCGGTTAACGTTTGTTCCGGCTAACCACGTTCGCGTCCCGTCCCGAGTTTTCTTCTAACAGGGACTGGAAGCGGTAGTGCAACCCCGAGGGGGCGAGGCCGCCGGGCGAATGCAATTTGTCGCTTCCGGGCAGACGAATCTTTTAAAGAAGTGCATCTTATTACCAGCAACCGTTAAGGAGACGAGAAACTCGCGCTTCCGTAAATAATGAGGAAGGCAGCCTTCGCGAGAAGGAAAGACTCGGTGTGCCGTCGTTGCTGCTGATGCTGCAAAGAGACAAAGGCCCGTCGCCATCATGGCGACGGGAGGATATTATTCTCGTTTGAGGGTTGAGGACGGGCAAGTAATGCACGAATGGACTACGTTGCTAGGGAAAAGGAACGATGAATGGAATGCAGGAAATCGCGTTACCGCTCGGGATTTCCATTGTGTCGCGAAAGACGACCGCACCGAGAGAGTCGTTCGTTTACCAGCAACTTCTTCCCGCGAAAGATAGACATAACAAGGCTAGTGTAAGCCGAATACTTTTTTTACGAACA